GTGAACTATTCAAAGTCTCCAAATGGGCATCTTCATTTGTGCCTCTCTCTGTGTCTGAGCTTCTCTTCCCTTCCTCTACCTGATTGGCATGGACATGTCTTTTCTCTAAAGCCCTGCTCCCGTGTCCCCCTTTCTGTGGCTTTCCCTTGTTACAGCCATCAAAATGTTGTCTTACTATCTTCTATACTCCTCGCCTACTCACCCTCAAACTCAGTCTGTGAGCTCCTGTGACATTTGTCTCTGAACCCCCAGTGGCACCACGTAGGGGTTTAGCAATTATTCATAGAAGCAAACGCATCACATTGGTTGCTTCAACACAGGCTGAGTTCCACCTCTGCTAAACTGGATCAGGCTTCCCACCCTCTGAGTTACGGTTGTCATGTGCACAAGCAAATAACCGTCTGCTAAGAACTGAATAAAGGCCACAGCCATGGTGGATGTGGAGTGATGCTGGTGCTGGAAAGCCCTCCCACCACTGGTCAGGGTTCTGGCCCACAACCACGTCCCTGTGGCAGGACCCTCGTGGCTGCTGAGCATGCTGGAAAGGGAAAATGTCTTTCTTCCCAATTAGCTATTCCTTTCTGGGGCCAACTCAGCTCCCAGAGAACTGAGCTGGACTCCATCTTGCCTTGTGCTTAGGACAGCAACAGCCACAGTAAAATTCCCGCAGTCCAATTTTAATACTGGTGATGACACAAGAGACAAAAAAAAAAAAAAACCCAGCTGGATGATCTGTTTCCAAGAGCATCTCACAGTGTTAGCATTTTGGAGAGGAAAAAAATACCTCTTGGTTGTGAACAGAACAAACTTAATGTGGCCACAATTAGAAATAAATCCGATAACCCACATGTGTAGTTATCTAAGCTGTCACTTCTAAAATGATATCTGTACCTTGGAAAGCCATCAATCTTTCATCCATAAGGTAAGAAGAGCGTATGAGGAATGTAATGTGGCTAAGAGTGTAGGAACGCTGGGAACCATCAGGCAGAGCTAGAGGGAGACGAGCGGAAACGCACATTCCATCCTTTTAGTAACACTGCCATCTACTGAAACTGCCTGCTCCTTTTTCTGCACCCAAATCTGCAGTCCCACAGTCAGTTTCATTTCAGCATTTTCTTGTGTGGTCTCATTTCTCATTTGACTTACTAATCTATTTGTTGTTGTGAGGTTTCCCACCTCCTTCTTTCAGAAATTAATTATAATTTCCAACTATAATTTCCAATTATAATTTCTAAGTTGTAATTATCCAACTTTTTTTTTCTTTTTTGTGAGGAAGATCAGGCCTGAGCTAACATCCGTGCTAATCCTCCTCTTTTTTGCTGAGGAAGACTGGCTCTGAGCTAACATCTATTGCCAATCCTCCTCCTTTTTTTCCCCAAAGCCCCAGTAGATAGCCATATGTCATAGTTGCACATCCCTCCAGTTGCTGTATGTGGGACGCGGCCTCTGCATGGCCAGAGAAGCGGTGCGTCAGTGCGCGCCCTGGATCTGAACCCAGGCCGCCAGTAGCAGAGCGCCCGCACTTAACCGCTAAGCCACAGGGCCGGCCCCTATCCAACTTTTAATAGCTGCTGATTGGACATCTGCAGAAAATATTTGAGAAAACGCACCACTACATTTCACTTGTATATTTGAGAGACAGTGAGGGACAATTAGACTTTTCCTAATTATTACTGTGACCCGAATAGAGAAAAAGTATCCTACCAAATGGAATTCTTATTTGCATACTCAATCCAATTACCATCCCAGGATGAGTGAAAGTTCTTCCCCATGCACTAAGGTGACAACTCAAGGAGTTTATCTAGAAGTCAGGCTCATCACAGAGTTTCCACTACGAGATGGAAGGACAGGCCACTGTTTGCTCTGCATCACTTCACCAGTCATCACTGAGGTAGAGTTTTGCACAAGGCATCCATCAGCAACCGTTTGACTGTTAAGACCACCTGAACCACTGGCTTGGTTGTTCTCATTTCAACTACATTGCGTGGTACAAAATACAGCTAAGGAAGCCAGACATCCTCACAATGAGGCAACTACACCTAGACAAATGTACAATGCTTAGACTACATGACCTTCCATTCTGCGAGAGCTGCAAAGATGAGAGACCCGTTCATCAAACACGTCTTGACCTTGGGCCTGGAAATGAGTTTCAGATCTCCTCTCATCAGCCACAGGACCTTAAGAAGTTGCACAACTTTCCTGAGACTCAGGCACCTGCAAAATGGGAAGAGTCTCATGGACTTTAATGAGTTATTGTGAATATTGATGAAATGATATTCCTGGCATAGTGGTAACCCTCAATGTGTATTAGTTTCTAACACGCTCCAGACAGGCCCTGTCTTGAATACCAAGGTACAGAAAGTAAGGTTCTAGACTTAAGATAACGAAATGACTAAAAGACATTTGATTTAGGGGTCAAATATTTTTATCCATCAGTTGGATGCTTAAGGCAGTATGGTGGCTGGTCTTTAACGATGGCCCCCAACAATTCCTCTCTCCTGTACACACATGCCACCCTTCACATCAGTAGGGGAGGCATATGTCCCTTCCCACAGAGTCTAAGCGGAACCTGTGACTTGTTTTGGCCAACAGAATGCTGTGGAAGCAATGCTGACTCATTCCAGGTCTAAGCGTTTAGAAGGCCCGGCATCTTCTGCTTTTGTGCCTTTGGGAGCCCTGAGCTGCTATGTGGTCTGCTGGAGAATCCACTTGGAGGAACACAGTTACAGGCCAGAGGGAGACAGCCACACGGAGGAGAATCCAGGATCCTACTGAATCGGACCCAGCTGAGCCCCTCGCCACTTGAGCCAGCCTTGTGAGGCGCCAGCCCTGTGAGTAAAGAAGCCACCTGGGATGGTCCAGCCCAGCCAACACCATGTGGAGCAGAGACGAGCCATCCCTCCTGTGCGTGTCTAAATCCCTGACGCCTAGATCCATGAGAAAGAATGACATGGTTATTGTTAACTAGGCAGCAGTCTGTTACACAGCAATAGATGACTAAGGGAGTACTCAAACCCATTTTATCCCGGTCCACTGCTTCCCCATAAATGTTGAACAATACAAAGTGCATTTCATTTCACTGTTAAATGTGTCCCTATTCATTGACTTGAGAATCACTTTATCATCACTTCCCAGCAGAGGACCAGGAATCAGAACAAGGATTCCAGTTACAAAGGGACATGTAGACACGGAACCAGCTTAGTCCTTTTTGACTCCTGTACTGAAGACTACAGAACATCCTTAGTGAAAACACTTCCCTTCCCTACACATCAAGGCTTTTGCTCCTCCTCTCCACTTCTCTCACTGATTTCAGAGGGCTTGCAGTTTTTACTAGGTCATTGTCATTTTCAGGCTGTCATTAATAATGCCAACTAGTTGTCATTTCTTCCTAAAACATATTGCCTCTTTTTTGCTCCTGAACAAAGCAAAGCTAGACTTGTGTGCGCCCTGCCCTCTATTCTTCCTATAGAAGCCACCACTGTGCAGGGAAAGACAAGGAGAGTTGCTGTCAGGTAGGACCAGATTTAATACCAGGCCCACCAACTGGGACTCCTTAAAAGTCATTTAAATTATCTGAGCCCCCGTTTCCCGACTGGATGAAATGGAGACAATAATACTCCCCATAACCCTCCCCTGAGGATTAAATTAAGCAGTGGAAGGCACAGCACCATGCCTGGTACACAGTAGCTGCTCAAGTCAATTAATTCTCTTTCGTCTGCTGCTAATTCATCTAAAGTGTATATTTTCCAGGTCTTCCTCAACTCTTCCAGTTTCTTCCTCAGAACTTCTAAAGAACTTATTCTTTGATTGAGAGTACGGACTCAGAATGTGCCTCATTCAGTTACTTGATGCTCTCACCCACACCAGCTTGCCTCCCTGCACTGGAGCCGTTAGTTCTGCTAGGACAGGAACTTGAGGGTCCCCTGTGACTCCTCCCTCTTCCACTGCCTGTACCCTGTTCATCTCGGGGTCTTGTGATTTTGTCTTTGAATAGATCTCCTTTCTTTTCACACTTTCCCACAGACACCACCCTAATCAAGCTACCACCATGTGTCACCCGGACTGTGGACATGGCTTCCTAAACCACTGTCTCCTTTCCTCTTCCACACAGCCTCATTCCCAGGCCAGCCTCCACACAACAGCCAAAGAGATATTTGTAACACAAAAACCTGATAGTGTCACCCTCCGTTCACATGAGAGCCTCACTCGCTCCAGCCTTCCTCTGCCTGCCCCATCTGCACATGTCCCACTCTTCCCCCTGACTCCCACCCCAGCCCCTGCAGCAGGCTCCTTCTTGCCTGGTTAATTGCCACTTATCTTTCAGGGCTCTGCTTACATGTTACCATCTATGAGATGGCTTCCCTGACCTCCACCCCTTCATCTAAATTAGATTTAATTAGGTCTTCCCCTCACCTCTATCCCCATTGTTCTCTCTCAGCATCCTGTTTTTTTTTCCCTTAATATTGCTTGTCACAATTTGTAATTGTATATTCATTTGTGAGCTTATTTATTTAGTCTGTCTGCACCATCACTAGCTCCCGGTCCCCACTGTAGATGAAGGCTCCATGGACAGCATCCATCTTGTTAGCCCTGCATGTCCTGCACAGAGCACCGAGCCAGGATCACAGCCAGCGCCCACGGGATGGATGAATAAATAGGGGGCAGAGGACTTCTGGTCCCACCAATGCCCAGCACTGTGCTTAGCACCTGGGACTTGCCTCACGAAGGTTAAATCATTTCACTTGGTTTCTGTTTGGCTGTTGTTTTTGGCAAGTCACTTCACCAACAGAAGTGATGTGTTTTGAATGGCTTTGGAAGGGTAGGCAGAACTCCATCAAGGGTCTCAGACACACTGGCACTTCCCTGCAGGAGGCACTTCGCAAAGGTGGCTCTACTAACACAGGGTACAGAGGGGAAAGGCAAAAAGGAATCTCCAGCCAGAGAAGCTTAAAAGATCATTCATGTGAAAAAGACAAATACATGCATTCATCATCAGGTACCTGGGGGTGATCTTCATGGTACAACCGAGGCAGCAGCCTCACCATGATGCACAGGACCCCGGGGTGCATGATCACAGCATCACCTTCATCTATCCTGCAGAGAGAGCAGAAGGACATCAGACTTGAGGCTTCTAGTCTGTTCTGTTTTTCACAGAACTTTCTGGATCTTTCTAAGACAGGCCATGATATACATCCTCAGTCTGCTACTTATTATCTACATGACCTTGAACTAATTAACCTGAGTTTAATTTTCCCCAACTGTACAATGGAGCTAACAGTACCATACTTTCCACATAGAGACACAGACTACTGCTTTTGTGCCTGGCACATAATTGGTGCCTAATGGAAGTTAGTTCAATGGTCCTCTCCCCTTACCTCCAGATACGTAGGAGATGGAAAAGCTCTCATTTTATATTAAACATACACACACAAGGGCTTCTAGATACTGTCAAAATAGTGTAAGCACACTCTACTCTGTCCCACCCACTGAATGCAACTGAAGACTGAGATAGAATGCACGAGCGGCTCCCTGAGGACTCTGAAAAGTAAACAATAGCAGAGAAGGAAACCAAACCCAAAGCACCATGCAATCGGCAATGAGATACCTGGGGCTTCCCGCTCCGGGCTCCCCTGACATGGGCTCACAGGGAGCCCAAAACCCAGAACTGTGCACCAGGTGTGCATAGGACAGACAGACCTCCAAGAGAAGCCCTCTCCTGTGGTCTGAGGAGCAGGAAAGGAGGCCCCTACAGGTCACAGACGATAAAGGAGATCTCCTGGGATTTACTTTGTTGGATTTCTCCTTTCTTTCTCACCCCAGGCTCCAGGCAACCCCACAGCAGCCTCAGCAGCCAAGCAGGTGTCTGAAACTCTCAGGGAGAAGAACCCTTCTCTCTGACCAGAGGAACTGTGGTCTCAAGAGTGTAGGTGAAATCCCCATTAATTTTGCTTCTTTTTCCTCTACCTGGTTGGCCCCAGAGACAGGTGCCATTGTGGGAAGTGCAGAGCAGAGCAGGGAAGTGAAAACCATGACTTTCTAGACAGGGGAGAAGGAAAGGGCCTCTGGGAACCAGAAAGTGTTGGGGAGATGATGAAGAGGAGGAGGTTTAAGAAAGTGAGACCATTAAGTTGTGTATCAACCTCTGGGCTCAATTCTGAGCTGCACATGTGTGGATCTGACCCTAAACCACATTCCAAAAGCTTTGAGAACTGAACTCAGGGTTAGACCACCATTGAGACTGGATACTGCATAGGGCAAGTGGAGGATAGATCAAAACAACATGCAAAGTTTTTGAAAACTGAACTGATGTAGAAGGTAAGAACGGTAAGAACTTGTGGCCTGAACCTAACCGGGTCGATTGCCTACTAAAACAAAATCATCAACACTCTTCAGAAGATGTCAACAAGAGCCAGAGTTCATAACATTCAAAATGCCCAGGATACAATTTGAAATTCCTCAAAATAGAAGAAACCAGGGAAATCTCAATACCTCGCATGGAAGAAGATAATCCACAGAAGCCATGGCTGAGATGACACAGATGTTGGAATCATCAGGCAAAAACTTTAAATCAGCTAATAGTGATCAAACGCCAAGAAATAGGGTGAATAGTTTTGAAAGGAATGAAAACTAGACAGTCTTGGTAAAGAAATGGCAGCAATAAAAAAGAATCAAATAGAAATTTAAGAACTGAAAAATACAATAACTGAAATTTTACAATCCCAGTGAATGAGAACAATAGAAGAATAAGATGAGAGAAAAACGAGTTCATGAGTTTGAAGATAAATTAATAGAAATTGCCCAATCTGGACAACAAAAAAGAAAAAGATTTTTAAAAATGAAAAAAATCTCAAGGTCATATGTCACAATACCAAAGGATCTAACTAACGTTCTTGCCACTGGAGTTCTACAAAGAGAGGAGAAAGAGTGTGGTGTAAAAAGAAAAAATGTTCAGGAAGTTTTTAGTCATTATTTCTTCAAATTTGGTGAAATAAATAACCTTAAAGATTCAAGAAGCTTGGCAAAACCCTAACAAAATCAACAAAGAAATCCATGCCCAGGCACATCATAATCAATTGCTGAACCCTAAAGACAACAAAAAAATTTTGAAAGCAGCCAGAAAAAAACAACATATTGCACACAGGGAAGCAACAATTTGAATGACTGTGGATTTTCTCCTGAGAAATCAGAAGGCAGGGGAACAACATTTTTAAAGTGCTGAAAAGAAATGCACAGAATTCCATATCCAGCAAAAATATCCTTCAGGAACGAAGGCAAAATAAATATATTCCCAGAGGAAGGAAACAAAGAGAATTTTCTGCCGTTGCACATGCCTTGAAAATAATACTAAAAGAAGTTCTTTGGAAGGGAGGAAAATAATAACAGAAGAAAACTTGATATTTCAGGAATTAATAAACAGCAAAAGAAAATGGTAAATATTTGGATAAATATAATAGCTATTTTTTTTCTTCTTAAGTTCTTAAAATTTGCACTATGGTTGCCAGGAAAATTGTGTTAGATGTAATACATATGATAGCTACAACAAAAATAGGGGAGGATAAGGGACCTGCATGGAGCTAAGTTTTCCATATTCCGTTTGAAGTAGCAAAATACTAATTCTAAGTAGATCGTTAAAAGTTAATTATGTACGTATATTGTAATCTTAGAAGAAGCACTAAAGAAACTAGACAAAGATAGTCAAAAATTCAATAGATAAATTCTAAAATACTAAATACTAAGATATATTCAAATAATCCACAAAAAGGTAGGAAAAGAGAAACAGAGGAACGAAAAAGAAGGAACAAGGAGAAAACGAATAATAAAATAATAAAAATAAAAATAATAAAATAAAATGGTAGACCTAAGCCCAAACAAATCAATCATTACCTTAAATAAAAATGGTCTATACACCAATTAAAACGTATATTGTCAGAATGGAAAAAAATAAAAGAGCAAACTATATGCCATCTACAAAAAACCCACTTTTTTTTTAAATGAAGAATTGGGCTTCAATTTCTTTTCTTTTTTGAGGAAGATTGGCCTTGAACTAACAACTGTTGGCAATCTTCCTCCTTTTTTCCTTTTTTCTCCCCAAAGCCCCAGTAGATAGTTGTATGTCATAGTTGTACATCCTTCTAGTAGCTTCTATGTGGGATGCTGCCTCAGCATGGCTTGATGAGCAGTGTGTTGGTCCGCACCCAGGATCTGAACTGGTGAATCCCAGGGCCACCAAAGCGGAGCGCACAAACTTAACCATTATGCCACTGGGCCCGCCCAAAAAACCCACTTTAAGTATAATATATAGAGAGATTAAAAGTAAAAGGATAGAAAAAATGTATACCAGGCTAACACTAATCAAAAGCAAGCTGGTGTGGCTGTATTAATCTTAGAGAAAGTGGACTTTAGAGCAAGGAAAATTACTAAGAATAAATAGGTTACATTGCATAATGATTAAAGGAGGCATAATATCCAAATTGTGTAGGCACTTCGCAACAGAGCATCAAAATTCATAAAGAAAAACCGATAGAAGTGAAAGGACAAATGGACAAATTCACAATTATAGCTGGAGACTTCAACACTCTTCTCCCAGTACTTGATAGAAAAAGTAGACAGAAAACCATCAAAGATATAGAACTGAGCAACACCATCAACCAAATGATGTAACCGACATTTATAGAACACTTCACCCCACGACTGCCAGTACCCATGCTTTTCACGTTCTCATGGAACGTGTGACACAATAGGCTGTATTCTGTGTCAAGAAACAAACCTGGAAACATTCCAAATAAGTAAAATAATACAAAATATGTTTTTCAGTAACAGAATTAAATTAAAAATGAATAACAGAAAGATAACTGAAAAATCTCCAAGTACTTAACAATTAAACAAATATTTCTTTTTTATTGTGGTAAAATACACATAACATAAAACTTATTATCTTAATCATTTTTAAATGTACAATTCAGTGGTACTAAGTACATTCATATTGAAAACAACATATTTCTAAATAGCCTATGGGTCAAAGAGAAAGTTTCAAGAAAAAATTTAAACTATTTGAAACTTAAATAAAAAGGACATATATCATAGAAAAAATTATGAAATGCTGTTAAAGCAGTGTTTAGTGGAAATTTTATAGGATTAAATGTTTATATTACAAAAGAAGAAAGATCTCCAATTAAAAATCTAAGCTTCCACCCTAAGATACTATTTTTAAAAGGAGAAAAATAAACCCAAACCCAAGCAGAAGGAAAAAAACAATAAAGATAGTAAAAATCAATGAAATTAAAAACTGAAAAACAATAGAGAAAAGAGATGAAGTAGAAATCTAGTTCTTTGAAAACATTTTAAAAATTGAAAAACCACTGGCTAAACTGACCAAAGAGAGAAAGACATAAATTATCAATATCAGGAATGAAAGAGAGAATATCACTCCACACGTCACAGACATTAAAAGGATAAAAAGAAAATTCTACAAACAACTCTGTGCACATAAATTCAACAACTTAAAATGAAATGGACCAATTCCTTCAAAGCCACAAAAGTCAAGCAATAAGAAATAAATAACCAGAATAGTTTATAGCTATTTCAAGAACTGAATATGTACTTAAAAACCTTCCCACAAAGAAAACTCCAGGTTCAGATGTTTCCACTGGTGAATTCTACCACACATTTAGAAGGTAACACCCATTCTATACAACCTTTTTCAAAAAATACAAGAGAATATTTCCCAATGCATTTTATGAGGCCAGAATTATCCTGATTCGAAAAACAGACAAAGCTAGTACAAGAAAAGAAAACTACCTGCCAACATCTCTATGAATATAGGTACAAAAATCCTCAACAAAGTAGCAGGAAATCAAATGTAACTACATATAAAATAAGTAAGGCACTATGGCCAATTGGGCTTATCCCACAAATGCAAGGCTGGTTCACTATTCAAAAATCAGTCAACGTAATCCATCACATGAATAAACTAAAGAAGAAAAAAAACATGATCATATGCAGAAAAGGCATTTGAAAAATTCAACTTCTGCTCATGATAAAAATTCAGTAAACCAGAACTAGAAGAAATCATCCATAACCTAATAATGGGTCCC